TTTTATATTTAGTTTTAGTATTAAAAAAATTTAGCCCAAAAGATTTTTTTTAAACATTTTTTGAAATATGAACACAACTTGTTTCAGCACTTGGGGATCCCTTTAAAGCTAAAAAAATGATAAAAACAGATAAAAATGATAAAAAAGTGCTGGTTTTAAAATCTCTTATGTGCACTTTATATTCATTAGTTTTTGATGTAATGACAACATTTTTCAGGATATATTGTTATTGTTTTAAACTAAAACATTTACTGTGAGAATTTCAAACCAACCGTGAGACCGTTAGATTTGTTTTCTAACCCTGAGTCTCATGGCAAGCCTTACCAGGACAACAGTGCAATTTTTCATTTTGCATGTCCACACATAACTATTTTATTTTAGACAACTTGGTCACCATCGTTTAAAAGTTTTATTATATTAGATGTTGCAGAAAAAAACTATATGTGTATACAAATAAACAAATAAATATAATTATATAATAAAAAAAGTTATACATAAAAATATACTCATGCTTTACATAAATGTATTCATATTGGGGCAATATATACTTGTTACATTAAACTTTTACAAACCGATAACAGTTTATATTTTTGCTTTCCTCTTTAAAAAAACAAACAAAAAATAAAGTATAGGAAAATCATTCTTTTTAATGTTGACTTAAAACTTTTTTTTTTGACTTTACCTTATTTAGTTTTGTTGTTAAAAATAACAACCACCCAAAAGAAACAAAATAAACAGTACACAAATTATTTCAATTATTATTTTTTTAAAAATTTTTTTCTATTTGAATTTATTTTAATTTCCTATTTTGTTAGTTTTGCTTTCTTTGGTTTTGAAACTTAGTATTTTTTGCAACGCATATTATAATAAAACTTGCAAATGGCCGTGACCAAGTTGTCTAAAATAAAATACCCATGTGTGAACATACAAGACAAAAAACCGAGTACATCTCCTTGGAAGGCTTGCTCAGTAAAACTGGGAGAGTTGGAAGGCCTGATGCAAGTGACTGTATTATTTCAAATGTGCCAATGCTCTTATATACTTGTTAGTATAATTATTGCTAGCATAACCAAATTTTTTATTGAGAAAATTGAAAATAAATGAGATGATATAAGTACAATTAAAATACACTAATTACAGTGACTGTATCATAAAGATAAGAAAAAATATAATAAATTACTGAATGGGAGGAGGTGGAGATAAAAAATATTATCGCTGTTATAACTTATTCTGATTGATTTCCTATCCTTAGGAAACGTATTGCGGTCACCAATGGCGTTTCAGTAAGCTGAAGGTCTGCACTGAAATCACTAACATCTACAAATATACATATGTACAATCATAAACACACATGCATACACACATATATATATATTAATATATACATTCATATACATAGGTATACACACATATAAATATATATACACATACATCAAGTATACAGCAGGCAAAAAAGAAATGGTACAAACATTTTTTTTTATTTGTATAAAATGATTAAAAAATCGTAATTTTTATTTTTAAAGGAAAAAACTTTCAATTATTTGATATCCCATTTTATTGAAGCATTGTATTTGAAAATTGTCAAATATAAGTTCATATGGCATTAAAAATTAACTGTACTTATATTCATAAAATGTTTTCTTGCAAAAATAATATGTAATTTATGTATGAAATGGTTGTTTGCGTATGTGTTCAGCAGTTTTACATTAAACAAAAACTTTTTGTTTTGGAAATTATCTTTTAATATCATTTTTGTGACGTTTATTCAGCAAATATTTAATCATAAAAAAAGCATTTAACCGCAACTGTGGTTATTTTAAATAAATTTTTTTAAAAAAGACTTTGAATTCAATATGAATTTAAAAATTTAAATTTAGTTTCGAAGGAATGTAAAATAGTTAGTAAAACATAGATGAAAAATTCAGTTTCAATGTAATGTAAAATAGTTTCACAATATTTATAAAAAAATAAATTTTTTTCTTGCTCACTAATTCATTATGTAAAACATAAATCTCTTCATCATAGAATATTTGAAAGCAAAGAAAAAACTTATTTCTTCTTTTTAAAAAAGGGAGAAGTGTTTTTGTTTAAAAGAATTCACAAATGTATTTAACACTTGTTTCTGATTATTTCAATATCCTGCAAATATCCTGTAAAGTTCTTTTGACATAATTTATTAACATCAACTTTGTTTTTTAATATTTTATTGGTAACTAAAATCTCTATATAAATAGTTTATAATCATTTAAAACAATTAAAATTAAAAGTATTGCATTAAATGATATAAAATATTGTTTAATGTAGTATTTTGTAATATAATATTTAATGTAAATATATATATATATATATATATATATATATATATATATATATATATATATATATATATATATATATATATATATATATATATATATATATATATATATATAATTGATATTGTATTTAATTATTATGTAATAATTAAAAATATTACATTAAATGTAAAAAATAAATAAGTTAAATAAAGAAACAAAAGATTATGTTAAGAATAAGATTGTTTAAAAAAATCATAAAGACATATAATCTTTTTCAAATACTGAATTTCGATTTTATCATTAATTTTGTTCTATTAGTTTAAATGATTTTTAACGCGGTTTAAAATCAAATTTATTTACAAGGCAGTACTTTAAAATACGCTAATGATGCAATTTTAAATATCTAAGCTGTGTTTAAGTTACATTTATTAGTGTTACCTTTTTCTTTATGCAATAAAATCTCATAACAAGGCCTGATATCTGTTTATGCACACACATATACAAATATACATTATAATATGGACTAAAACTAAAAACAGCTTAAAAAAACAGTTACAAATAGTAATTATTTTAATTTGCTATTCCTAGCAGGTTTGAGATTTGACTTTTATGTTATGATTAAATTTCCATTATTGTAATAATCTGAAAATAAAAAAATAGTTTGTTGAGTAACATATAAATCATCGTTGGTTATCATCCTTTGATTTTTTTAAGTTCTGTTTTGAAATAATATTTATTGAAAATTATTTATTAAATAATTAGCGAATGAATTTTATATGCAGATCAGAATGTTTTATTACAATTTCATATTTAATTACAAGTACATATGGTATAATATAAACATAATAATTTTGTACTATACATGGGGTATAATATAAACATAGTAGTTTTGTACTGTACATGCGGTATAATATAAACAGTAGTTTTGTACTGTACATGGGGTATAATATAAACATAGTAATTTTGTACTGTACATGGGGTATAATATAAACATAGTAATTTTGTCTTAAATGTGAACAGTAAATTGGATAACAAATGCGCCATACCAAAATCTCATTTGCTCAAAAGTGACAAGTTAAGATTCCATTTTTCAAAAACTTTTCTTTTGTTGCAGGCTTAGTTTTTTTTGCATAATGCTTTAGTTTATTTTTATTTGCTTTAATAAAAAAAAATCAAAATAAGTTAATTTTAGTTGACTTTTTTTGCCCACATAAATACATTTTTTGAACAAATACAAATTTGTTCAAAAAAGATGAAAAAAATATAGAATAATGCAAAAAATTAATCACTGCCCTAAGACAAACCCTCATATGATATAGAAGTAACTCCTTTGCATGTTCTTGTTGTTATGTGTATCCTATATCTTTGCATGTTCTCCCTATATGTAGTAAATACATCAGTCGATGTATTTACCAAAGCCCCCTGCAGCTCCTTATTTCAGATAACATCAGAGTGCCAACTTTTTCATTTGAATGAAATTTTATTTCAAATAATCTTAATTTGTTTCTTTCTCTTTTTTTTTTTCACTTTTTCATTCTTGCATTTTTTCTGACTTTTAAAAAAATAGTTACCATGACTAAACTGTTAAAACATATTTTGCGTATAGGAGTTTTTAGTTTTTTTTGTACATGTTATTAAATGTATTTATTTTTTATTATGAAATTTTTAGGATGGCGTATAAAAGCTAAATTTAATATCAGGCCTCTGTGGGAAGCGAGAGCTTTAGCTCTTGCTCTCACCCACACTCCCCTAAAACGGTTTATGGAAGCAATTTACATCTCTTACAAAAGTATTTTTTCTCTCAAAAGTTTAATTATCATTGTTACTAAAATGAAATTTGCAAAGTCAAAAAAATTTAATTCATTGGATAATAAACAGGCACGGTTTTTGCTATGTTAAAAAAAGTTTTACTTCTAAAGAATTTTTTAAAGGCGCAACAAATGATGCTTGTTATATGTATATTATTGTAACATTAACATTACAAACATATGCTAGTAACAAGTATAAAACCAAATTTTGTATTCAATTAGTAATTTTTATATAAATAAACAGATAAAAAAAATGAAAAGCTCTCATAAAAAGTTTAGAGGAGCAGCTCGCATGGCTCGCCATGTTGTAGAGAGTTTTTCTCTGTTCTCGCGCTCGTTTGATCCCGCCAATGTGGGATTAAATAAGCACAAGATCTCACACTTTTAGGCTGATTACATTTTAGGCTGTAATATTTAGACACTTTTAGATTCTTATCCAGCTGTATTATTCTGACACTTTTAGGCTGGCACTTGCATTGCTGCAAGTTTGCAGAGGTTATCTGCAGATAGAAGGTTTCTGTACATTGAAACACTCTCAACATGCATATATAAAGTATTTTTATAAAGATAAGTTTTAATAGGAATTGTTTCTATTTACCCTGTAGACAATTGTTTCAGCTTTTTAAACATAAATATAGTGAAAATTGTCCAATTTTAAGTATTTATTAATATTCAATGCAGGAAAGCAAAATATGGAAAATAAATAAACAAGGAAAATAAATAAAAATAATGAATATAAATAAAAATTTAATATAAATATAAATAAAGAAATGATAAATTTATATAAATATTTTTTTATAACTAAAAATGTTCAACATTTTTAGTTACGAAAGTTATTTATATTAGTAAATTTAACTTTCATATTTTTAAATCAATATTTTTTTAAATTTTTTAGGCAGACACTTATCCAAACACTAATGGCGATGATATGTTGAAAAATGAAGAATTGGTAAAAGCAACATTTAATTTTTTATCAATATAGTATGTGCAGATAAAAGTTATATTTTTGACCCCTATAGCAAATTTTGCTTTTCAGAAATCCTTTCCTCAAAAAGTATTTATGTTATTGGACTATCTTATCTTATTAAATTATTTACCCCTAAATCCTTTCCTCAAAAAGTATTTATGTTATTGGACTATCTTATCTTATTAAATTATTTACCCCTAAATCCTTTCCTCAAAAAGTATTTATGTTATTGGACTATCTTATCTTATTAAATTATTTACCCCTAAATCCTTTCCTCAAAAAGTATTTATGTTATTGATCTATCCTATATTATTAAGTTAAAGCAATTAGAATTTAAAGTTCCATAAATAATAATTTTGTTATTATTTTCAGTATAAACTTAAATGGATTCTTAAATCATTTTTATTGTTAATCAATTTTATGCAGTAAATGTTTGAAATAAACAACACTATATGCATCACTTACAGACCTTTTCATTATACGAAGAAGAACATTGAAAAGACGTCGTCCAACCACTGAATCACTACCACACATATTATACAAACAATGTAAATAATCTCTAATTATTTTTTGCCACGAGGATATGCTACTGAAAAGCAGAAATGATCGGGCTACTGAATCATTTTTATGAATCATTAAAAAAAGGCCAATATATTAATGGTTTATTTCTCTAAATCTGAATCCATCTCATGTTTTAAGTGTTTATGTGTATTTATGGTATTTGTTTGATTTTTGATTTTATTTTATTTATTAAAATTGTCCCAGAGCTAAAGTCAGTTTTTTTAAAAACTTGTTTTTAAAATGTTTTTATAATGTTTTAAAATGTTTTTAAAAATACTGACTTTAAGTTTTTTAAGAAACTAAAGTTAACTTTAAGTTTCTTAAAATTCTGTATATTCTTAAAAAGTTTCTTAAAATGCAAATGCATCTCTGTCTTTATATTAAAATATTTAGCAATTATTTTGATAAACTATTATCATGTTTAACTAATTTTTTCTTTTTAAAATTTCAGAAAATGGCATTAGAAACTCAAGCATACAATGAACAAAGAATAGAAAAGCGCTTAGAGCTAAGAGAAAAAAACTTGAATGCACAAGGTAAGAACTTCTGATTTTTATGTCCAAATTAATTTGTCTTTATTGATATTTATATCATATACTGCAAACTTAGATGCATGTGAAACACCATTGATGACATCATAATGCAATAGCCCTGGTTGGGGCTACATACAGTGGTACATTCAGTGTTACAACAAAGTTAGGACGAGTAAAAATTTGTTCAAATAATATTTTTTGTGAACAACTTATAAAAAAATATGTTAGAAAGGCATTTAATTTTTTTTTTTTTAATTTGCGAAAATGCCAATTAATTAAAATTTAAAAAAAAATCAATTAACAGGTAATTAAAAATAATAATAAAAAAGTCAACTAAAGAAAAAAAAGAAGGCAATTAAATTTATACAAATCAAGGTTTTTTAAAATTATACAAGGTCAAGGTTAAATTTATACAAATCAAAGTGAACAAAATAATTTTTAGAAAGTAATAGGTTTAGTACTTAAAATAGCCACGCTTAGCTTTAAAAAATATTTTTACATGTCTAGGCATCAACTTTATGAATTTCATACATAGATTTTAAAATTATTTCTATGTGCTTTCAAAAACATCCTTTAAGTGTGCTTTGCTTGTGATATTTATGTTGCACATTCAATGGGATTTAAATCAGGTGATTGACCACACCATAGCAATGAAAGTATTTTTTTCGATTTTAAATATTTTTTTATAATCTTGTCTGGGTGGCAAGGTATGCCATTTTGTTTGTATTAAAAGTTGTGGGATCTTAATTTTGATAGTGACTGTTTCAAGCACATTTTAAGGATATCTTTGTATGAAATCTGAATAACTGAGTCTTTGTATATTTTTATGGACCCAGTATCTTTGTGGGAAATACATCCCCAAATGCCTACTGAGCCACTGGCAATTTGCATACATTGTCCACAATAGTCATACTTCTTGTTTTTAACCTTTTCACTTGAGTGTTTGATTAATGATTGTTTAAAATTTGATTACTTTCATTGCTGGAAATAATTTAGCTCCAATCTTTGAAAGACAAGGTTAGTCTTATCTGATGCTTTTTTTTACTTATCATGCAGTCTGATTTGTAAAAAAAAGGTTTATGTTGAGTGATTTCAGAATCAATACATAAATTTTTCAAATCTTTTTAACAGTCTCTCAACTTACACCTTCGCCGTTTTTCATATTGTTAAATTCTGATCAAATATTATTTAGTATTTTCCCTGCTTTTTAATTTTCTCTTATAGTTTTTTTATTTTATTTTATTGCTCTTTTACATTTTTTTTTTTTTAAATTAATGTCTCTCTTAAAGTAGTTTCTTTTTTAATCTATTAATACCTCTCATAGTTTTTTTTTTATTGTCTCTTATAATTAAAATGTCTCTCTTGTAGTTGGTTTTTTTTTAATTGTTAATGTCTTTCTTGTAGTTTTATTTTTTTCAATTGATGTCTCATTTTTTTTTTTTTACATTAATGTCTCTAGTTTTTTTATAAGTGACTTACATATTCTAGATATGCAGTGACAATGCATTTTGTTAGGGATGCATTATTTTGATTTTTTTTTTAATGAATTTCATGATTTTTTTAGAATAGATTTTGACAAAATTAAATAAATATTTGAATCTTGATATTTTTTTAATCGTTTTCTGACAACTATGTTGCTGACTGTTTAGTTACCACTTTTTTTAAATGTTATTCACCTACCTAAAGCTGAAAAGGACTCTACAATTTAGGTGGCTACTTTATTGTGGTTACAACACTCTCTCAAATCTTCAACTCCAAAACACAAACCTTGCAAACAAGGCTGCTGTTCGGAGAAATGAGTTGAGCGTGGTACTACCCAGAATCCTCGCTTATGAAGTGAGCGCTCTATCACTATACTGTTAGTGCATATTGCCACACATTTTTATTATACTATTTCTTTACCACTTCTAATGTACTATATTTGTGCACATTGCACAATTATTTAAATAGTAGATATTTTAAATTTATTTCATGCTATATATTTATATTAAACTAATAAAGAAAATTTGTTTTTACTCACACAATCATACATTTAAAGTTGACTTTTTTTTTTTTTGTAGGGAATCGACCAGATGAATTGTTTTTAAAGAAATTGGATTCCTCAATGAAAAAAAATACTACATTTATTAAAAAACTAGTAAGATGATTTAAAATTTTTTTTATAACATGCAGAGGAAGTGGAAGCATTATCGCCCCATAACATTTGGATTATTTGTTTTTTTAATAGTTTATTTCAATAACCACTTTGTTAAGCTTGAAATTGCTGCAATTAAGAAAAAAAATAAAATGGTTTTTGAAAATGTTATTACACACTTCGTAAAAAAAATGGTTTTAATCGTTGGGGGTACGCTTTTTGTTTCATAGTTTGCTTATTAAGTTAAGTTATATCAAAAATATCAAAAATGGTTTTCACTTGATGAAATAACACTGATAACAAATTTCTTTAACACTAAAATCAAATATTGTTAAATCCTTAAAAGAAAGGTTGGAAAAATATTATGTAAATATTTTCATCAAAATAAACATTATTATGCACAATTTCTCAAAAACAACACTCTTTTGACATAAGGGAAATAAAGGAACCTGTTTTACCAATATGCGGTATGTTTTTTACCATATTATATAACATTGTTCAAAGGGAAATGTTAAAAAATGGTTGTGCCTCCATATGCAGTTATGCCCCCACTTCCCCTACTTTGATTTTCCTTTAAGTATCATTGTGTTGTATTTTTCTTTAAGTATTAGTGTTTAGAAGTTTTAAGAACAGTTCTTTACTTTGATCAGATTATTAAAGTTTCTCCTTAAAGTTTTAAAACTGCAAATATATTAATTTAAATCTGAAATTTGTCTGGATCAAATGTAACATTTAAGAAACTGTAGCCAGTAGAATAGTATTATTAGCAGATATTTTTTGACCATAATCTACAAATATAGTATAGTACAAATATATGTATATACACTATCCTTTAAAACTATAGAAACATTTATTAAATTTAATAGAAACACTATAGTAGACTAATTCTTTTTCAGTTTTAATACAAAAAAGTGTTAATTTTAGTTTTAAAAAGCAGCTATTGTATGTAAGGTAAATATAATTTGAAATATCAATATACCAATAAAAATGCAAAATGAGAAAATATGCTACTATTTCAATTCCGAAACTATGGAAACTTCAAAGAGTGTACCAACCAGATCAGTAATTGATGGCATATCCATTGTTCTTAATAACCTCAGCACATGTAGGAGGCTTGATAAGTTTGTCAAATGTTTTTCTCAATACCAGTTGAAAGTTCCTGATAAAATTCTTTAGAGTTTCTGAACCTATCATCCAAATGTATCATTGTTTTTATATATTCTTACTAGGATTTAGATAAAAAAAACTGTTGAGAAATGTTTCTGTTGAGAAATATCATCTGAAAAGTTCTTTTAACAGGATTTAGGTCAGGAACCTGTTAAGAAATATTTTTATCTAGAAAAGTTCTTTTAACAGGACTTAGGTCAGAATACTATTAAAAAATATTTTTATCTAGAAAAGTTATCATTTGATTCTCTAAAATCAAATGATATATTTGTTGCATTCAATGTGATAGAGCGCTCATAATATATAAAAGTTGTAAAAGGCATCTCTAAACCATCAAGCCTTTGCCACCCCTATGCTTTACTTAGGAATCGTCCATAAATTCCAAAATGCCAAATTTAACTAATAAGCAAAACAAAACAAATTACAAGTTTTCCTACACAGAGTCTTTAAATAAACCAAAATAGCCCAATTAAAACTAAAAACTAGCCCTTAAAGTCAGATGAAAATTGCTATGCAAAAGAGCAAATGATCTCCTACTTCTATTTTTTTATAAAGTTTAGCGCTGCATAATTTATGGGTGATATCTTTTCCTATAGTGTACATTATTTTAATTGTTCAATAACTGATCTTCTCACATCTTTTTTACCATCTGAACCTCTCAGGTTAAACTTCAACTTATTTGACATAATATGGGGGGGGGGGGTTCAGTAAATGTACTGCGTCAAACAATTTTACTTGAATTTCTACTAATAAAAATTAGTAATGTTTTAAATCCAAAGATATTTATGGCTTAGCATAGAAAAAGTCGAAAACAATAAATGGACACTACTTTGGGTTAGTCTTAAAGACTAACCCAAAGTAGTGTCCATTTAATTACCAACATTTTTGTGTATGGAATAACTACTCTCATTCACTGCCAACTTAGTATAAGTTGGCAGTGAATTTGTATTGCATGACAGTCATGATTTTAAAATGTTGTTTTTTACCATCTAAGCTATCTAGCTACACCAAAAAATATGCTGGTTCTGCAATGGATTGAATATATTTTATTTGTAATAAATAAAAATTAATCTGAGAATGTGTTAGTGTAGAAAACTTGGGTGATATTTTTTTTCAAAACTGATTTATCTATCAGGAAATCACTTTTTTTTTAAAAAAAAAAATAAATGAAAAAGCATGACACTTTATAAATTTTATTAAATAAATATAGGTTTAAAATTTATTAAAATAAAGCAAATCAAATTTTTTGAATAATAATTTAAATTATTTAAAAGATTTGTTTTAAATTAATGCATAGTGTTAATTAGTTATTATTTAATTTATGCATGCTTTGCTAGGGTTATCCTTATTTGAACAATTGATATATGTGTTTAATGTAAATCTTTTTGAATTTTTTTTTTAATAACAGCGCTCCATAAATGAACAACAGAAAAATGCTTTAGTAAATGAGTTTAATGGATTAAATTTAAGTAAGTTTATTCAAGAGGCTGTTACAGCTATGGTTGAAGCAAAATTAAAGGTATTTTTTTTCTTTTCTTTTTTTGTTAATTGGATTTGTAAAAACAGAGAGTTTAAGTTGATAAGTACACATATTTGATATAAGTTGATAAGATACATATTTGAAAGTATAATATTTAACTAGTAAACATTTCTTTAAAATATTTTTTCCCCTTATCCCTTTAACAGTCCATAGTATAATTTTAGGTTAGTTAAAAATGGTTTCAAAATGTCCTGTAATATTCTGGCTTTATGTATCTGCTGTAATATTACATTTTTAGCATCTCTTCATATTTCATTTTTCATCAGTAATTATATGTCTTAACATTACAAAGTTTACCATTATATTATTATTGGGCTTTTGTTTCAAATAATTCAATTTCACAAAAGTTATTTTAATGCACAAATCATCATGTTTGTCAAATTATATTTGTATTGTTCTGAGTAGGTTTTTGGTGTGTAGCAAACAAAAAAATATTTAAGATATAAATGTGTATGTTGTATTAATGCGTATATTATGTATATAATGTTTAAAAACTGAAAAAAACTTTTCTAAAGTTTAATAACAAAAAAAAAACAAAAAACAGTTCAAAAAAAATGCCAGACATTTAGAGACCACTTTTAGAGATTGTAATTAAAGAAATATCTTGCTATTAAATTCTTTTATTAAAAAAACATTTGAACATTTATCAAAGGTTTTTATCTTTATTTGTTAATTATAAAGTTAAAATTTGACAACACCAAGTAATCATAAACAAACTGCTGCAGTATTTTAATCATGATATATTATTGGTTCTCTAATATTATATGAATATATGTACATTTTTTTAATTAGGTTTCTGATGTCAATGCTGCTGCTTACATGTGTTCTCTTTTTCACCAACGTTATGCTGATTTCACAGTTCTTTTCAAACAAAACTTTTTAAAAGTGTTTGACTGTATAGGAGAGGGATGCAAGGATGAAGAAAAAGTAAAAGTTTTTAAATTTTTTTTTAATCAAAAAGTCATGTAAAATGTTATGATTTAATACTAAAAAAATGTCTTTCAAATAATGTGTAACGTCTAAATAAACATTTTTTTACTTTTTTCCATCAAATTTTTTAGAATAAGAAAAATATAATAATAGTAATGTTTATTTGCATTAAAATTAAATACAAAAAGGTGAGACAGGTAATCACAAGATAATGCTCACGTAGTACTACTAATATAAAAGTAGACAGATAATTACAATACAAATTTATACAGTATGCAATTGCGTTGTAAATCATAATTATTTAACTTTCTTTTGAACATTGATAAATAAGGAGAATCAACAATGTGAGCTGCTAAGGAATTCCATAATTTTACAGTTCTTTCGCTGAAGAAGAATTTATGACAATCATTTGTACATATATTGCATAAAATAAGTTTTTATAGCTTGACATCTAGTATTGTAGTGAGAGTTGGAAAAGGTAAAGAAATTAGAAAAAGGTAAAACGATAAGATTGTGTACAATTTTGTATACCATAACATGATCAAATTTAACTCTACGGTATTCAAGAGAATCGAGATTTAGAAGAATTAGTCTTGATACATAATCAGAATAAGAAATATGGCAAAAGAACACTTCCCAAAGGATATGTAGAAACATTTATTGAATGCTATTTTTAGTTGCCAATTAGTTGTTCAATCGTAAAAGTTTTTTAAGGAATTTACAAGATCTGCATTAATGCTTGTGCTTTTATCTCTCTCTTGGTATAATTTGATATCATCTGCAAACAGCTTAATTCCACAGTCACCCTCAATAATTGAGATTATATTGTTGATAAATATTAAAAATAAAGTGGGAGCCAATACAGTTCCTTGAGGTATTCCACTCTTGACAGATACGTAATTTGAGTAAGAGTTACTAATGCAAACATTGAGATCGGTCAGTTAAAAAGTTTGTAATCCAGTATAGCAGTTCATGTTTAATGCCGTAAGATTTCAATTTGTGCAATGACTTTGCAAATAATACAAGTAATAGAAATAGGTCTGTAATTAGAAGGTAAGGAAGGGTTTCCTTTTTTGAAGATTGGGTATATAATAGCGGTTTTCCGAATTTCCGGGATTACACTGGTTAACATAGATAATTCCAAAAAGGATTGAAAGTGGGATGGGAATAGTAGTATCAAGTGATTTTAGCAATATAGCCGCAAACCCGTTGGGTGAATTTGATGAATTAGGTGGGAGTTTTTGAAAAGCAGATACAACAGAGTCATAAGAAAAAAGAACATTCAGAGATTTTTTATGAGATAATACTGTTGTCGGAGATAAACACTGAAGCAAAATAGTTATTTAAAAAGGTCAATTTTTCAGAATTATCAGTACAAAGAAAATTGTCCGATTTTACAAGAGGTGGAACAGAATTTGGACAGGTAGATTTGACTTGACATACAAGTAAAATTGCATTAAATTAGCTTTTTCTAAAGAAGAACAACTTTTGTAATTGGCAAGAATGGAAACAATATGTGATCTTTTATAATGTCTGTACAAAATACATTTTTTAGATGCTAATTTGCGAATGGCAGGGGGTTGAACATGGTTTGGTTTAGAATTCAAGACATCAAAAATAGATTGCCAGGAGGATTCAACATCATGGTTTTGTTTGGCAAGCATAAACCAATTTACATTTAATAAATCATTTTGAATCGAATTATAATTGGCTTACATTTACTTGATTTTTTTATGACTTTTGGAATTCATAAAGATACAATTAAATTGGATAGTGCAGTGGTCACAAGTGCTAGTAAATGGGGCGGTATTATACACATTGGACATCATTTTAATATTGTTGGTTAAAACGAGGTCTAACAGATTGTCGAGTCTAGTATATTCGGCTACAAGCTGAGTGAGAGCATTTAAAGAGCAAGTTTCAACAAAAGAATCATGGCAAACATCACCAAAACTAATAGGAATCAACCAATTAGTATGTGGAAAGTTGAAATCGCCTGTTATTACACAAGCAGAATCACACTTTGACAGAAATATGCAAAGCACATAGATTTGGTTTTAAAAATATTTGATGCTGCACAAGGGGGATGGTAAACACACACAAATATAATTTTTCCAAGATTTGGTAAAGCACTAAAGTCGATGAAGGTAATTTCAGTATTATGAAGATCATCAGGAATTTCATAACAAATTTGAACTGCATGGATATCACTGGGTACTAAGATTAGTAAGCCGCCACCTTTGCCATCATGGTCATGCCGGAATAGATTATAACAGTTGCCATTTAACAGTAATGAGTCAGGAGTGAAATTGTTGTCCAAGTCTCTGTGATAAGAATGATGTCAAGGTTTCCGTATTGGAGTAGGTTGTGTAGGTTTACTAATTTGTTGTTTAATGATCTTACATTGAAATAAACACATTTTAGGATTCTGGTAACAGATTTTAAGGTGGGAGGTAAGAGTATGAGAGATATGAAAATCTTTTTACACTAGTAGACCTCTTTCACATTTTACACTAGATCTTTTTCATATGTACTCTTAGGTGCTTAATAAAAGGGTCTTATTAAAATAGTGGGTGGGAAATTTTTACAGAACATAAATAAACAATTAAATTCTTGTACGGTTTGCATTCAAATGCGCATTTTTTAATATGCATAAGTTTTATACAATAGTGAGAAATTAACAAAAACTTATTTTTTGTCCAATCAAAATTTACGAGATTTTGTAAAGGTTGTCAATTTTTAAAGCCTACTGAAAGGTTTTATTCTTATAAGTGACTGATATATGTTTGTTCTGATTTTTTTTTTTTTTTTTTGATAACAAGAAAAAATTAATAAATGAGGGATCTTAATAAGCATAAGATGGGTGGGAAAAAATTCATAAAATTGATACACCTCCCTTCTGTGTATTAACCACCTAAGAGTTGATATATGTGTACATATATATACATTCATACAAGTTTGTGTATTCATTTATGTACTAGCAAAAAGCAACCCGTAATACGGGTTTCGGTCGGTCTGCTACATAATTAATTTATAGTGGCTGTTTTACAAAGTTTAATGTTGCAAAACCTTAACTAATACCCTTTTAGAAAATCGCCTTCAGCTTGAAAAAATTAATCCATCTGTAAAATTAACATAAAAAGTATGAGGAGGTAAAATAATTTGCCAACTACTACTAAACAATTACTACTTAACATTATTTAAGTAATTTACGAATGGCATAGGTCATAACAGTGAAAAGCAGAACCATTTTCATCGACCTTCCTAAGTTTAACACGATACGTTTTTAGTTACTGACACAAAATAATAACACGTGGTCATGCTTTAAATTGACGAAAGTGTCAACTAAATCCTTGTAATAATTTTAATAATACGAACCATTAAGATTAAAATGAAGTTAACTTATATTATACAGGAGTTATCTATTTTTTGGTATCCCCTTGATTAATTATTCTTTAGAAAAGAAAATTGTTAACTTAAAAATGTTAAATGCACACATTTAAATAAATTTATAAAAAATAACAAAGTTTATTATAAATAACTACGCAACTGAGTACAAATACCTTTCAAACAAAAAATTAAATTTACGATCAAACATGGGTATAACAAATTTTTTAATGCATAAATGCATCATATGACAAACCTAAAATAAAAATTATAAGAGATAAGTAGACATAAAAATTTGTAAACCAAGCTGACCCGACCCGAGTCTTGTTAAGTCTATTCAACACAGACCATTTCTATATTATTTGTTTGGCCTCTTTATTTCATTAATTTTAAGTAAACGGTAATTTGCCACCATTTACTAAAAATTCCTATTGTAACTCGAAATTTAATTTTCCTAAATATTTTGACTCTAATAAAGAGGTTCCTTCCCTCTTTTTGCTTTAATAGTGGCCAGGTGAATAAAATAATAAAATGTAAAACATGATCTACATATATAAGAATGTTTTCTTTCTTTCCTCAAAAGTGTTGCAAATACAGACTAAGCTAACTAATTAGTTAAACACATAAAAAAAAAAACTTAAGTAACTCGATATTAAATGCGCAAAACTACAATATTCTCCATGTTTTTAAAGGTTTTTAGTTACGACCCCCCATTTACAAAGATCCCCTTAAAATACGTACAACAAATTATTAGGCATAAAATAGATAAAATATAAAATTAACTAATAGCATATATTTATATCTTTTTAACTAACAAAAACTTACAATAAAAAGAAATCAGGTTATTTTATTTTATAAATCTTATAAATGCGTCATAACGTAATTCTAAAATAAAAAAGTAATGAAATTATGATATCATAATTACAAAGAAAAAAAAAAAAAAAAAAAAACCACTACACAATTACCAAAAATCGATTTACCCATTTATAGTAACCTATTTTGAAATTGCAGTTAAAGATTTATCGAAAATGTAACTATAAAACCTGTTTCGAAGTACCAAAGCAATACTAAAAGTACCTAAGCAATACTAAAAAAAAAATCAAACTAAGATATAAATTGTTGTTTTGGCTTTTATAATTTAAACATATATACAACTATAAACAAATATGACTTTATGTAACACGTATAAACACATTTTACAACTATTGAATGATAGATATTTACCAAAAACAATGAAAAAAAAAAAAAAAATAATGATAAAGTTACACATACAAAATGTGCTCACAACCTTTAACAATAAATTTTCGAAATGAAAATTGAAAGACTATAAATTAAGACCATTAAAAAATATAACAATATTTGTTACATTTTTTAACCTACTATACCTTGAATAAGATGTTTATCAATTTTGAAAAACAAACTATTAAATGCTATAGTTCTTGAAAATGCAGCATATAGTTGACCATGAGAGAAACACGGTTTTGACATATTTCTTTTGTCTATATGTTTATTTTCACGTTACGTAATATATAGACGATCCCTAAGAGAAAATACTTGAGACTAAAAAGATTTTATTTATTACAATATTTGAACAACCAAGGGACAATTTAAAGAATTATATCTTTAAATAGTAAATTATCAATCGCAGTATTAAAAAATACGCAAGAGCTTAGTAATTACAGAGTTTAATAAATTCTTAATACTAATATTATTTAAGTCTCATCTAAGAGAGAGGAAGTGTTTTAAAAACAGCATGTTAGAAAAAGTAAAAAAGTCATGCAATAAATAACAGTAACTGGTTTTATTATGCTTCCAATAAAAAAAATTATTTTTACCGTGACTAAAAATTAATTTCCAGCATTTCTTGATTAAGTTCCAGCTTCTCTCTAACTGTTGACAAATGATTAATATTGTAAATTTCACATCATATTAAATTTACAAAATTAAAACCATGTTTCAACAGTAAGCAAAATAATCAAGTGATGACAAAGACAACTAAAAAAAAATGAACACAATTATGTTTAAGATAACAAAAAAAAAAAAAAAAAAAAAAAAAAATCATTTAAAATTGAAGCTGTTATTATTTGTTACTATAAATAGTAAAATTCATACTTTGCTTTATTTTAAAGTGTCTAATGTAAAGTCAAATAATAGACATCAACACCGCTTGACACTGAATTCTGTCAAGTAAGTTTTCGATTCATCAAGCAAAATTTCTTATATTTCAACAATTAATTTTATTACGTCTAGATCTATTTCTTTCATATGACAATTTCAAGTCACCTATAACCATTTACACTAATAACTTCTTCGAGCCTAATATTATACATCTGTTATCATTAAATATATATTACCAGTGATTATACTACTGTTACAACTGAATAAATGAACGATTTATATTTTTACAACTGAAAAATATAAAAAGAAATTTATTGACATTATTTTAATTTAGCAAAGAATTTAGAACACAGAGAAATATAAAATATTTTGATATATAGGCACATTTATGTATATAAACTAACCTGTCAAAAATTAGTCAGTTTTCCATGTTAAATACATAAATATAAAAAGAAGTTGACAATCCACAGTATCATTAAAATATAAAATTAAACAAAACATTAAACTTACTCAAATCAGTAACAGTTCGACTGTCTAAATATTTTTATTATTAACCCTTCTATTTAAAAAAAGAAACAAATGATTTGAAGTGACTAAAAAGCACTTTAGCTCTTTCCAATTGCACTAAAAAATAAATCTTGCTTTGCTAAGTTGCCTAGTTCTAGAATCTGAAAACAAATAAGTAAAAAACCAAGAACAAACAAACATTTATTTACTAAAACTACTCTATCTAAACAAATTAAATTAAACAGAGAACAACATTGATACTTCTGGAAAGCTGAAAAATTTTTTATCTCAAATTTGCATGTAGACCTTGCTTATAAAACCACTTGAATAAGAAAAGCATCACAAAGCCTAGAAGCTACTTAAAAATGATATATGCAACAATGAACTTTAAATGTTGATTGGAGTAGATTTTTTTTTAAAAATTCAAAATGATTTGTTCTTCTATAGCAAATAAATACACCATAAATCTGAAGTTAAAAATGTAACAAAGAAAAACATCATATGTGAATTAAAAATTAATGTACCTGATAGAGATAAGCTGTGGTGATACCTGAGTAGTAGTTGCTAAATTTTATTTTTTTATGATAAACAAATTGTATTTATAGCGAAATGAATTTCAGTAAATAAATAAAAGCAGTGAGTTCTAATAATGAAACTACTTATTAATCATTTTAAACAGCTGACACCAACGTAAAGATAAACCAAAGGTAACAACATTACGCAAAAAATTGTTAAAGATAAAGCAATGTGTTTTCACAATAGTTATATTAAAGGCTAGGCAACACTTAGACCTAAAGCAGTAACATCGCTTGACTGGTAAGGTTGATAAATCTTGCTCTACACGTTTGCCAAGTCACTTTGAAATCATGGAAACAACATTATATAAATATATATACTAATTATAAAACAATATATTTTTTTAATGTTACTTAGCATATAAAAACACCCCATTTAACAATCTTGCAGAAATTAGATATAATACATTTCATACTATTATAAAAACACATAACACAACTATATAACATATATTACCACATACACGTATTTATCAAAAAAATTTTAACTTTGATCATAATATACATGCAAACATATATGCAAACCTTTAACAACTATAACACAACATTTATTAGCATCAATTATTTTAAATGTACAAAGAATGCAGACTATAATGCACGACATTGTTAATAAAAATGAAGTTATGTCAGTCAGTATATATTTATCTAAAGTAATGAAAAAGAATAAACCATTTAAAAACAAAATTAAAAATTTCTAATGAGTATATATTTAGATACCTTAAAATGAAGCATAACACAACACTCTTTTGACAAATTTCAGAGCAGTTTTTCTATTCCTTATCATTTTTCCTTAGAGAAAATATACATATAGATATAAAATATAAAATAGACTGAAATAAACGCAAACTTATGTATATAAACTTACATGACCACAAATAACAGTCTTATTTTATTTAACATTTCATATTAAATACATAAATAAAATTTTATTCTCATTATTTATTCTATATAAAAAAAATCTTAGCCTATGTATGAGAAAATGAAGTAAACTTACTAAAAAAGCGATCATTTTGTCTTAACTGCTCTAAAAATTAAAGCAAATACTTGCTTAAAATGTTTTAAAAAGACTAATGACAGAACTGAAACAGTTTTCTTAAAAAAGAAACATTGTGCTAATAAAACTATTTTACCAGTCAATTTAGTTCTAACTTCTTCTAAAAAATGAAAAATAAATACATAATTAGATACCTTAAAATGAAGCATAACACAACATTCTTTTGAGTCAAAAAAATTCTTCTGGAATTTGTCAAATTCCAGAAAAATTTTTTTTATTTTTCTATTCTCAATAACTTTTGCTAAGAGAAAGTATACATATAGTATAGATATAGAGAAATATAAAATAGACTAAAATAAACGCAAACTTGTGTATATAAGCTTACATGAACACAAATAACAGTCTTATTTTATTTAACTTTTCATATTAAATACATATATAAAACTTTATTTTATAATTTTTTTTGCAAAAAACAATCTTTATCTATAAATAAGAAAACGAATTGAACTTACTAAAAAAACCATCAGAATATTATTAGTGCACCATCAGCTTCTCCTAACTGCTCTAAAAAATAAAACAATACTTGCTTAAAATGTTCTAAAAAGACTAACGACAAAATGAAACAGTTTACTAAAAAAGAAACATTTTACTAAAAAAACTATTTTACCAAACATTTTAGTTCTAACTTCTTCTAAAAAATAAAAACAGCTAAAAAATATAAAAGCTATAAAAATGAGAAAAAAAAAAAATAATAAGCAACAACAAACTAACAATTATTTAAATTTTTATTTTAAAAAATAAACAACATCAATTCTTTTTGAAAATAAGTGCATCAGCTCCAATTTGGTTACTGATTATACTCGTAAGACCGTGTGGAACATATAACTGCGCTTAGAAAAGTTTAAAAACTAAGAAATAGTGTATTTTACATAATGCAGAACCGTAATTAACAAAACGAACAATAGGCGTAACAATGCGTAACTATGCGCACTAATAATATTCATTCGGCTATTAATATTTAGATTATAAACTTTTGCAAGATAAATTATTTATATTTCGTTTAATTTTAAGTATCCGATTACAAAAAAATAGTAAATGAAAAAAATAATAATAATAACAATTACTAATAATAATAAAAAAATTAGCATTAGCATTACAATCTACATAACTCCCTGTAAACAAATCCTGTAAAGCTTGTGTAATTGGTGAAAGTGGAGACAAAGCTACCTTACCATTATGGCAACATAGAAAATGTGTTTCATCTGGAAAGTTCTTAGCACCACAGTGCTGACAAATTTGATTCATTTCTCCTAAATAATTATAATCTGGATTAGCATTACTTCTCGCTATAAAATACATTCGTCCTTGTCCAACAGCTCTTCTTTCATTTTGGCGACGATTAACATTATCTCGATCGAGCCTATTTCTTTCATTTTGGCAACGGTTAACATTATCTCGATCGAGCCTATTTCTTTCATTTTGTAAACAATTAATTTCATCTCGCCTAAGTCTATTTCTTTCATTTTGTAAACAATTAATTTCATCTCGCCTAAGTCTATTTCTTTCATTTCGTCTACGATTATTTTCAACACGCCTTATAGCACTTACATCATCTTGTAAATACAAAACTACATCTAGCCTATCATCCATTTCAATGTCATCATTTTCATTAAACATATTTATCAAAGCAACACTAATTATTTCTTTTTTTTTTTACTAATCCAAAGTTAACAATAAAATAAAAAAACTTAATAACTAAAAAAATCATACTCGAAAAATTAAAAAAAAAAATTTTGAAACAAATATATAAAAAGAAACCAAACAAATGCAAAATAAAATTAATTTGCCCTCATCAAAAGTAATACAGGTTTCTTAAGTTTATTTGATAGAAGTTAAGAAAAACCTGCAACCACATCAGCAAAAACTTATTAAAACTTATTTAATTTCTAATTAAAAAAAAAAAAAAATTAGGCGTCATAGTTCATGCGTTGGGAGAAAACATTGAACAAAACACGTAATAAAACTTATTAATGCATTATTAATGCATTATGTACGATAGAACACAGGTTATTAACGCGGGTTTATAAATTTTTTTCTCCTAACACACTATTATGTTGTCGCAACTCCAAGGATATATATAGTTATATATAGTTATATAGTTATATAGTTATATATATATATATATATATATATATATATATATATATATATATATATATATATATATATATATATATATATATATATATATATACAGAACTATTTATTAGTGAAAACATATGAAAACCATATGAAAAACATATGAAAAAAAAAGAAATAAAATATATATATATATATATATATATATATATATATATACAGAACTATTTATTAGTGAAAACATATGAAAACCAAATTTTTTTTTACAATATATATAGTATATATTTGATAAATAAACCTCTACAATTTTTTTGGTTCAACAACTCGATAATGATTAATAACAACTCTGTAAACATGAATTTTCTAATAATTTAAATCTTAATAAATTATAACAATTAACTACTTATTTAAACAAATAATTACTTATTAAATTTTAAAAGATTTTATATATACGTAATGTCTACTTAGAAATACTTAATGTCTATTTATACATTAAAAAAATCTACAATTTTGAAAACCTGAAACTTTAAATCTACCTCAAAAAAAAACAGATATATATTAAAAAGTATTTTTATTTCTTCTTAAAAATTTAAAAATGCTTTTTAACTTACTCCCTCCAATATTATTATATAATTTATAGTATATATTGATAAATAAACCTCTACAATTTTCTTGGTTTAACAACTTTTTTAAACTTGGTTTAAAAAAATTTCTAATAAATACATATTTAGATACCTTAAAATGAAGCATAACACAACACTCTTTTGACAAATTCCAGAAGAAATTTTCTTTATTTTTTTATTCCTTATTATTTTTCCTTAGAGAATATATATATATATAGATATAGAGAAATCTAAAATAGACTGAAATAAATCGAAAACCTTAATTTATGTATGAGAAAATAACTTGAACTTACTAAAAAAGCGATCAGCTTCTCTTAACTGCTCTAAAAAATAAAACAAATACTGCTTAAAATGTTTTAAAAAGACTAACGACAAAACTGTTTTCTTAAAAAAGAAACATTGTACTAAAAAAACTATTTTACCAGTCAATTTAGTTCTAACTTATTCTAAAAAATGAAAAATAAATACATATTTAGATACCTTAAAATGAAGAATAACACAACACCCTTTTGACAAATTCCAGAAAAAATTTTTTTTATTTTTCTATTCTCAATTATTTTTGCTAAGAGAAAATACATATAGATATACATATATATATATATATACATAGCAAACTAACAATTATTTAAATTTTTATTTTAAAAAATAAACAAGATTAATTCTTCTTGAAAATAAATGCATCAGCTCCAATTTGATTGCTGATTTTACTCGAATGACCGCATGGAATATAAAACTGCGCTTAGAAAATTCTAGAGGCAAAGAAATAGTGTATTTTACATAATGCAGAACCGTAATTAACAAAACGAACAATAGGCGTAACAATGCGTAACTATGCGCACTATTAATAATATTCATAGGCTATTCATTATAGGCGGATACATACATATGTGCATGTATGTATTACAGCCTTCAGAATTAAGTTAAACATTCAGCAATGCTGACCTAAATAGCAACCTAAATAGCAACCTGACAATGTCAGAAGTCATTTTTTTTTTTTTTTTTGCAGATCTCAGAGTTTTAAAACTAAATTTTACTTTTAATTAAAAATAAAAAAACATTTTGTTTAAATTCTAAATAGAATTATTAAAATTAAAATGACAAAACATTTAATAAATCATAAAATAAAAATGACAAAACATTTTATAAATCATAAAATAATCAAAATACAAACAAAGAAACAAATGTTTTATTTAAATTCTAAATAAATTTAGTAAAAAAATAGAAAGTCAGACTTTTTACTTAAATTCCAAACAAATTAATTTAAAAGCGCATTAGCTAAACAAATGTTTTATTTAAATTCAATATAAAATAAAAACAAAAAAACAATCATTTAAATTAAATTCTAAATAAAATAATACAAAAAAAGCCAGAAAAGTTAATGGTTCTATTTAAATTTGAAATGAAAATAATTAAAATAAAATGGCAAAACAAACGTTCTATTTAACTCTAAATATAAACCTTATTTAATATTAAATTTTATTTTAATTGTAAACATAACATTTAACTTAAAAAATGGAAAAATTAATTCTGTATGGATTAATTTGAATAAAATTGGCAAAACAAATATTTTGTTTAATTTCCTAATAAAATGATAAAACAATGCCTAAAAACCTGAAAAATGATTCATTTTTCAGGTTTTTAGGCAAATAACTACATTTTAAAGATAAGTCGCCAACCTTGGTTGTTTTTTTTTTTGTGGATTTAATGCTAAATTATTTCATATTCTTTGATTTGTTGAACCCTGTTTCTAAATTTAATGCTGACCTGATTCGATCTTTATTAGTTTTAGGTTGGCAAAAAAAATTGCAGACCTAACTTTTCCTAATTCCCTAATAAATGTTTTGTTGTTTTCCCTCCAAATGTTTTGTTGTTTCCAATGTGGTACACAGCTATATTTTCAATCTCATGGTAATCGGTTAATATCTAAAAGAAAAATATGTAAACTTAAAAAAAAAAAAATCTTATTAGTTGAGAAAATAAAAGATAAACTTTAAAAGATAATACTATTAAAAGTCTTTTTTTTATTTAAAAGTGTTTCACTTAATAGACTTTTAGCTTTCTTACTTAACTCTATTTGGTGTTTTTTCCTGGTAGCCTCTTTATCCACTGTATTGCTTATTTACATCTTTTGACTGGATTATTTTTGACACAGATCATCAAAATCTATCTTGGATTTTTTCTTATTATCAACAACTTCAAACAAACATGAAGTTTTCTTGCAAATTTCTTCTTTTTTATTTTTAAGAAGTAAGAAAGCTCATTGAAATCTGTACCCTTTTTATTCTTACACTTTTTGGCAGCTGGTAATTGAACTATACTTTGACACTTTTCATAAACTTTGAGAACACTGACCTTAATTATGTCTTTTAAAACTGTTGATAAAGATGCACATTTGTAAATATTTGTGACACAAAGGTTTTTGTGGTGATAGAAGTATCTGGTTCTTTTCTTGCATGGGTTTCTGTTATTAATTTTTTGTTTCTCCTACATGTAGCTTTTAAGAATATTTAATTCTATTGAAAATAGGCTTACAGACAACTGGTTGACCAAATATTAATTGATCTGTAACCATTCAGGTGAATATTTTTGTTCATCTTGACCTGCAAAAGAAAAAAAGTTAGGCTTATTTGTATAGAACAATATAAGATGCAGAATGTCTTTTCATGTACAACAGCTTTTTTTGATGAATTTTTAACTCATAGTATGTCTTGTAATGTTATTATGCTATTTCTGCTATTTCCAATCAGATTAGTTTTTTAAAATCTTTTTACCAAAACAACTCTTCTGAAAACAGATGCCTTTTTATTGGTGCAAGAAATGGATCCAAAAGATTTTGTAGCTTCATTTATTTTTAGACCATAATATAATCTTGTATTTTATCTCAGTTAAGCTATAGATGTTTCTAAAAAGTTTAATAGTGTCAGTTTTTGCCTATGGGTATGATTTAAGGCCAGAGGTATTTACAAAGAACAAACTCTTTGTCACAGTTCTGCAAAAATGTTATCTAAAACCTCTTTGAATACTTACTAAACTTATTAAGAAGTATTTATCTTGATTGTTTTCAGTTCCTGAAACGTTATTTTTTTTAGAATTTAGAAGTTTTTACTATGTTAATTTATTTACTGCATAAGAATTTAAAAAAAAAATGAAATTTTTAGTTTTGTTTTATTCATAAAAAGATTTTTTGTTTTTTTACCATCCTCTATAATTTATTTTAGTTTCTCCTAAAAGATTGATTGCTCAATTTCCAAAGTTTTATTTGATTATTTAATATTTAAAAGTAATTTTTGTTTGATTCTTTTTTTAGGCTGCAGTTGTAGCAAAACTGCGTCCAGCCTTGCGTTTACTTGGAGAGTTGGTTTTAGATGGTTTTTATTTACTTAATGAAGGCATTCCGATTTTACTTACTATCTTGCAGAACATACTTAATGCAGACAAGGTTTCAAAAATAAACTGTTCAATATTGTTGTTTTTGAATTAAAAACAATGTTTGACTATAAATAGGATTGTGTTGTATGTGCATTAAAAACTGACAAATTTTTTTTTTTTTTACTAGGCTTCATTTACTTGTGGAACAGTTGTTATCACTTTAGTGCGTCATTGTGGAGAAGATTTGGCTGGAATATTACCAAGGAAGCAACGGTTGCTTTTCTGATATTTTACTCTTAGATAATAGCGGTAAATAATAATTGAAATAGTTCTTGTAGAAATAAAAAGTTCACTAAGTTTCTTATTGAAAAATATTTCATTTCACAGCCATTGGAAAGAAACAACAAACATGAGTTTTTCTACTTTAGGAGTAAGTTTTTAAACTTTTATGTTGTATATATATATATATATATATATATATATATATATATATATATATATATATATATATATATATATATATATATATATATATATATATATATATATGAATATATATATATATATATATATATATATATATATATATATATATATATATATATATATATATATATATATATATATATATATATATATATATATATATTAGGGATGTGACTTAGAAAGCAAAATACTGTTATTAAAAGGTAATATTTGATTATTTGATTGCATTAATATAGCTAAAGTGAAGGAATTGTTTTTATATCAACGTCATTGCAAGGAATTGTTTTTATATCACGTCATTGCACAAAAAAAATTATTACAGCTTTATTTCTATTTATTTATTAACAGATTTTTACCAGGTATAGTGTATAATGTATTGCCCCAATAACTAAATAACTAAAAACTTTTACAACATATACAGTTGAATCCTGAACTCGGGCCCAATGAATTAATAATGGTTTCAAATAAAAATGAATTGCTTAAATTTTATATACAAAAAATAATAATTTTTAACTAAAAGTTGAAAAGGTTGTTTTTTATGGCATTTTGTTTGCAATATATTTTTTTTAAGAGTTTCAGTAGAAAAGATTATGAGTTTTAAAATCAATATAAAATTCTTGTTCTTTAGAGACCCAGATTGATATACTTTTGAAGAAAAAAAATTAACTGATAAAATTTTACATAATAAAGTTTTTATTATTTTAAAATACTGCTCTAAAACATTTTTTTGAATGTTTTTTCTCACACAGAAATATGTAATATAGATTTGGTAAAAGAGAATAAGTAATACAACCAAGTATTTGGTATTTTGTAACCATTATTTATTAATTGGGTCCGAGTTCACAGGATTCAACTGTATATGTTGTATAAGTTTTTAGTTATTTAGTTATTAGGACTATACATTACACACTATACCTGGTAAAAACCTGTTAATAAATAATTAGAAATAAAGTTAAGAAGGCTGTAATGACTTTTTTTTTGAGAATATGTTTTTGAGTGCAATGACGTTGATATAAAAACAATTCCTTCAATTTAGCTATATTAACGCAATAAAATTTTACCTTTAAATAACAGTGTTTTGCTTTCAAAGATGTTTTATACAGTGAGATTAGTATATCTGACAAATCCACACCACAATAGTAAGTTAATTGTACTGTTTTACAATCTCTAGACAATTTATTTTCACAAACATTATTTTGAGCTTACTCTCAGTTAGTAATAAACAATGTTTGATTCTATAACTTATTATGACTGCAGTCACTAAGAAGCCCATTTCTCAAAGACAAAAACAAAGTTGCAATAAAGTAATTTATCAAAAAATACCTTTGTTTAGGCAAAGTTTCTTTAGTTCACTAAAGTACTAAAAGATATTTGTGTAATCAATTTAAAAATGTAAAGAAAACATAAAATCATCTAACAAAAGAAAAACGTCAATTTGAAAATCGACAAAACTATAAAAATTATATTTACAAAAAAAAATTCTCTGGGAGGAGTTTGCAACTATTTTGTAATAAAAATTCATTAGGATGGCAGAAACTTTAGGGGTCAAATAAATAAATAAAACTTTGTATTAAACCTTTACAAGGTTTTAATTCCTTAAAAAATATAATCCTTTGGTAAAAAAGACTCAAATAAATAATATAAAAAAGGTTGTTACTAAAAATAATAATTGTACTTTGCATAACTACAATAAAAACAGTCAAATGCAAAGGAGATATTTGTTTTTCTTTTGATCTTTTTCAAATGTTCTCCTGCTTCTACTTTTAAAATAAATTTAGTAATTCATGTCAATCTGTTATCTAACTATTAAAACAAAATTTTAATTTTAAAATATTTTAAGTTTATAAGTATTTATAAGTGACTTTCTTTTCTTATTGTTTAAAACATTTTTTTTCAGTATATCACTTTGCTTGTGAACAGAAGCTTATTTTTTTTTGTTGGTGGTTTGAAATTCATCATGTCACTATTTCATCTTCTATCCAGTTGTACCGGTGCAAGCTTCTTTTCGTACACACACTTTTAAAGAATAATTTTTTTTTGCATAACTTGTTGTTAATTAGAGAGTTTAAAATGTTTTGACAATGGCATTGGGTTATAGAGCTTCTTTTTTTTTTAAATGCGAATCAAATTTAATTGTTTGAATTAGTGTAAATGTTTCTACATAAAATGGATAGTCTTCTTTTGTCAAATTTAATTGTTTGATCACTCATGATACTAGTAAAAATTAAAAGAACTAAAAAGTTTAAGGAAATTGTTTTTTGTTTTTGATTTATCTGAATTACTATAGCATAATTATGTTATAATTAATATTCAATTAATTTAATTAGTAATTATATTATAAATAGTGTTCAATAGTTACTTTTTAAATTACTACCTACAGCTTTGAGTTAAAAAAAGTTACCTGAATGATTGTTTTATCATAGGTCCAGTTAATATTGACAAACAAGCTTTAATAATCTTGGTTAGTAATTTGTATCAGTTCAATATAAAAACTTCAGACCACCATTGATCAAGTTTTTTCCTTTTATTACTGGTAAGTCTTTAGTAAAATGAAATGCAACAACTTCCCTGTCAAATAAGTCTGCATTGCTAACTTCTATGATGTTAGGAAAGTCAGCTTTTGTGTCATTCAACACGCAACTGTACTTCCAACTCACTTTGAATCAATAGAGTATAATTTTAATAACTCATTTGGTAGAGAAATCTTTCTTTGCATATACTTTGCGCCATCAACAAATTTTTGTGTTTTTTTAAAAGTACCAAATTTAGGTCAAGCTTCGTTAGATTTCAGCTCATCGTATAAAAGGTCTGGTTCTTTCTGCTCAAGTGTTAAAATAAATGACTTGAAAATTGGGAGGATTGAAATTTAGAAGTAAGCATGCGTGTTTTTTCTTTGTGTGTAGAAGAGTTTGCTTGCTATTCTTTTCTTTTCCAGCATCAGTTAATGACTTCTTTTTACAAATAGCGCCATTTGAGTATATCCTTTTTTTTCACACCTTTAGATAAATTAAAAAAAAAATAAAAGTTCAAGATAGAGGAAACTGTTTTGTGTGCATTGCTTAAACATTTATCAACATTTATTTAAAAGTTTACGAAAATCTTCTTTTATATTGTCTGCTAAATGTGTAGCTAAACTGGGTCTTAACTTGTAAGAAACCGTACATCCTGCCATATTTAATGAGGTTAAGACTTTATTGTTTTTGGTGAGCATTTGTAATAATCTTATTCCAGAAGTGAGACTCAATGCTAGTGAATGTTTATAATGTGTGTTATTAGGCCTTCTACTCCTACAGATTTTTTTACCAAACTTTTTTTTTTGCTTGCACATTTTTGTCATAAATATTTAGAGCAGTGCCCTATGGTAAAGTACAAGTACTTACAGCTTTGTTATTGGTAAATATTGATGAGAGAGTAGTGTTGGTTTGTACAATTTTTTTTTCTTTTGTGTGTGTGATTTACTAGTTGTTTTAAGTCTATTTTACTGCTATTTTTGTAGGACAGAATTACTTTACAAATGCTGCAAAAAACTTTTAAAGGAAAAATTATCTTGCATTTATAATCAGACAAGTGCCATTTTTGTCTTTTTCTTATAACCAAGACCTGCCAAAATTTATTTCAATTTCTTTATTTCAACTTCTTTGTAATTCTTTAAAAGTAGCCATTTTCAAAATATTTTTTATATTTCGAGCTATATTTATGTGCAGCCGCAACTGAGTTCTACTGTTTATAAACAAGCACTACTGACTTCTTTTTTCTTACACTTGAGATAATATTTAAATGATTAAGAATTAAGATGTTTTATAAATGAATTGAAGGGCGTATGAACAAATGGGCCTTTAACGATTTGTTTAGCGGATAAAATCTGCGTACACATGGCAGGTAACAGCTGCAACACATGGGAATGCAAAAGCGTTCCCACATTTTAGATTTTATAAGATTGTTCATCAAAATGACTACTGTCAAAAATTTTACTATGTTAAGTATTTTAATTTATTTTTTACTATTTTTAAAAATTTTTTATATTCAATAACTCCTGTATAACTTCTGCATAGTTATTTCTGTAACTATATAACAAAAAGTTAAATTATATGCAATGCATAAAAATAAACACTACTCATCAAAAAAAATTCAATTACTCAAGTTGTACGTTAGGAAAGACAAAAAAATTTTAATTTTCGTCAAATATGAGAACATTTTAAAAATGTTTAACATTTTGAATCACATGAATGAGCATGTGAATCATTAATACTGCTTAACCTTTTGTTTGTTATAGTTAAAATAAATTTTTATATAGACTTAATCAAACAAAAGGTTAAATATTTCTAATGATGGACTTTAAACTGATTAAAGATCATGTAAAAATAAATAAATATCTTCTCTCTCTCTTTTTTTTTTATTTGTTTTTAACTGAACAGTTTTTTATTAGTCATATTTTAAAAGTCTGGCTTTAAATTATTTATTTTTTCATTTTTACCCCTGTGGTTGAAAAATGCTACCAAAAATAATTACAAGTTGAACAACTGAAAAAAGATAAACAATATTTCAGTCCCTTTAAGGGCGACCGAAAAAAAATCCTGAGGTTACATCAATGCTCAGTATTAATTTTAGTATTACACAAAAACATTTTTGAAGTCAAAATTTTTTTACAAATAAGTTTTTTTAAACAAAGCTATTTAATAATTTAAAGCATTTTCAAAAGCATAAGATATTTTTAATTATACTAAATTTATTTATATTTCCCAAAAGTTATTGTTTTAAAGGTAATAAAATGTTTACTAAAAGAAGTTAGCAAAGCAAAATAGTCAAATAAATGTTTATTTTATAAAATTAACACAAAAAAAAAAAAAAAAAAAAAAGCTGAATTAAAGCAAAATTTTATTATCCATTTAATGGATAATAAAATTTTAAAAGAAAAAAGTTTTGAAAAAAAAATTTTCAAAGAAAAAAAAAAGAAAAAAAAGAAGTATAAGACTAGACTTATAAGCCATTAAACAATGCAGACATTTGTCTAGACATGCGCTTAAACATTGAAAGACAATAATTATGTCTTTCAATTTGTCTAGACATGCACTTAAACATTGAAAGACATAATAATTATGTCTTTCAATGTTTAAGTGCATGTCCAGACAAATGTCTGCATTGTTTAATGGCTTATAAGACTAGTCTTATACTTCTTCCTTATCTTCTTCTTCTTATATTTATAGCTATAGTTACACTGTGATTTTTGAATATTGAAAGTATAATGATAGGACGATTACGTGTTGATTTACTTGTGTCAATCTGATGAAGAATTTCATTTAGATAACAGTTTTGTTTTTCATTAAGACAATGACCTCAAATACATACATAGTGACACAATAATTCTTCCTAAATAACAAATTAACATCCTAAAATGACTGCAACAAAGCTCTGACCTTTTTTTTTAAAAAAAAAAGTTTCTTTAAATATTAAAAACCCAAAGCAAAAAAAATTATACAATCTAAAGCTCTTGTTTGGACATAATATACTGATAAAACGATGGTAATTCCAAATAAAAGAATTCTAATAATTTGTAAATTGCCTTAACTACACCGAGTTCGGTCTTATTACAGTGTACCGCTGAAAAAACGATAAAAATGACTTCAGAATAGTAACTTAAACACAAATTTTTCTCAAGTATTAAAAATTTCTATTTTTTGTTAAAATTTTAAATAAAATTATCGACATGCTTTTTAATAAAAACCATATTATATACATATGGTAATAATATAGTAAATTTTTTTTCATCTAGTATTGACATTCAGGGTGTGCAAGCTTCTTGCTCATGCTGATCAGATTTAGTTATTATTTTCTAGGTACTATCAGCTGATCAACAATCTGTTTTCATGTGCTTGTTTAAAGAATACTATGAAAATATTAGCAATCATTTAGTAAAGCTACACAAGGAGCTGCAAAACAGAGAAAAACAAAACAGACAAACTATTGGCGTCAGTTTTTTTTTTTTTTCATTGGCAATGCTTTTTTTTAATATAAAATTTTTTAATGTTTATTTTTTATTGTTTTTTAAAAACAATTTAATTTGTATTTAGTTGAGAGGAGAACTTCCTGCCGATCGTAAGGAATCATTTGAGAAGGCTCAAAAGATTTATGAAAAGATTCTTTCTTCAACTACATCGTTAGCGGTATTTTTTTTTTGAATTACTATTTTTATTAATTGTGGTAATTAATACTTATATCAGTATCAAAAACACTGTTTTAATTTCATATTGTAACAGAATAAAAAAAAATTCCAGCCCTATAGCAGCAACTGAAGACAGTAAAAAAATTCCTAAAAAATGTTAAAAATTAAGTCATTCGGTAATATTACCTAAAAAATGTTAAAAACTTAAGTCATTTGGTAATATTTAATCTCTGCTACTACTCTAATACATGGAATTTTTATTTTACAAAAAAACAGCTAAAATTAAAAAAATAAATAAATAAAATGATAATAATAATAAGGCCTTGGTAACAACTGAAAAAACTAAAATTTTTTCTTAAAAGTTGGCACAAATAATATATGAATCATTGTGCAACTTTTTTGCAATGCTACAATTTGAAGTTTAAAAAAAATAAATAATAAGTTTTTTGATACACCCTATTATTATTATTTAAAATAAATATAAATAATATAAATATTATATATATTTATATTACTTATATTTATATATATTTGTTTTATATTGTAAATAATATAGGAGCTTCTAGATGAAGAGATGCCAGAACTTCCAGAATGTCGTAAGTTTAAATAAATATGATACACACTTGTATAAGGGGTCGTCCACAAATTATGTCATGCAATTTTTAACCATTTTTGACATCTTGCCCCCTACCCCCTTATCACAATATCTTTAGTAACAAGTTCCGTATGAGTTGTCACAAAACTACTAACCCCTCCCCCAAAGTGTGACAATTTTGGGGCGACCCCTTATGTGGAAAAAACTATTTTGTGTTGAGTAAAAAAACCATTTGCATGGAGTGAAATATCTGGATTCCTCTAGCTAACTCTAAAAGTGAATTTTTTAAAAAGTCCTTTAATAAATGTATGGTAACATAAATCTAAACATTTATGGGTTTTACATTTATGTTTATTGTTTTATAATATATTTATAGTTTTGCATATTATTATTTTTACAATTTTTTTATTTATTTTACATTTTTTCTCTGTATAACTATTTGAAAAAATTTTTAACAGAATAAATTAACTTTAATTGATGACCTAAAAAGAATTTAACAGTTGTAATAATAATTATATATATCTAATAATAATTATACAGGGTGTTCAATTAATTTCTGACCCCCCTAGTGTCCTTTTATAAATGACTTTAACTCAGTTGTTAGGCAATATTATTTATTTCACAAAATCTTTAGAAAAATGTTACTGATCAGTAGTGAGTTATACCATCATTTTCACCAGAACATTTCAAAATTCTGGGGCGAAAACTTTCAATAAGTGAATAGCATTTTTCCTGGGTGATGGAAGCACATTCTTTTTGAACTCTTGTGATGAGTTGTTGGCGATCATAGCTATGGCCATACATGCTCAATGCAATTATGGTTTGGTGAATTCCCTGGCCAATCAGTCTAGACACTTTGCTCCATCTTACATTAAAACAGCATACTGAAAAATATTTAGTTTCAGATTTTTAAAAAAGCCTTCCAACAAACAATTAAAATGTTTAAAAATATTTTAAACAGAGCAACTTAAACATGGCAATGAAAAGTTTGAGGAGGGGGGGGGGGGGATCAGAAATTAATTGTAGAATGTATGTATCTATATATATGTAAAGGAAGCTGGGGTAAAAGCTATCAATAAAAGCTACTGAAATATTATAGGTCTATTTGTTTATTTAATTGAATAAAATTACAATTAATCTAGAAGCATTGTATGCAGATAATTACATGAATAAAAAGAATTACAAAATCTGGGCAAAATGTGGAAGAACCCCGTTTCGCCTCATTGAAACTACTACTTTTTAAGATATAATAGAAGCTTTAGTTTAAAGCTTCTTTTATTAAGTACCAGTTTCTTAAGTCGTATGTGAAAAATTAGATGATAGAGATGCAAAAATTTATTTTCCAACAATAATGTTGCATTAAAAGTAGACTATAGCTCAAGATGGCCTCAGCTATAGTGGACTATAACTCAATACTTTACTATGAAACTAACATTTTCAACAAAATCATTTAACAAACATTGGACACACCTTCCTAAAAAGTAAGGTAAAAATAGAAAATTGAAAAAGCATAAAGTATTTATCTTTTTTTAAAAAAGAAAAAAATTATTTTCATAATCAAATTTAATATATTTTACTTACATTAGATTCAAAGTCTTCATTAAATAAAGTTATGTTTATTTTTAACTCACTTAGCTCTGGTAACTCTTTCTTAAATGGTCTTGTATTGAGTTTCTTCAAATCCAATCAATTACAATAGCTTTTGAGGCTCTAAATAAAGTGTATTTGCAAAACCCCATTTTACCCCATATCTTGATATACCCCAGTTTCCCCTATGTATGTATGTATGTATGTATGTATGTATGTATGTATGTATGTATGTATGTATGTATGTATGTATGTATGTATGTATGTATGTATGTATGTATGTATGTGTGTATTTATGTATGCATATATGTATGTATGTATGTATGTATGTATGTATGTATGTATGTATGTATGTATGTATGTATGTATGTATGTATGTGTGTGTATGTATATAATATAATATATGTATGTATATAAAATAATATTTTGGATAAACTTTTTATAATTTTAGACCATCATTTTTATTGAAGCTTTTATAATTTATATTACATTATGTCATATATGCACATTTTATTTTTTTATATACATATCTAAATCCATACACTGTTTTTGGAAAAAAATGAAGGTATATGGGTACTGCGTGCCTAAACCTTCAAACGTTCCTTCTTAAGTCTCCTATCCCCCTTTTCGTGTGGTATTATTTTATTGACCGACACAGTCACATGCAAACTTGACACATTTACGTTGACTGAAGTTCTTAGTATAAAATATATAAAAGTTACATTAATACAAAATCTTTTTACATATGTAAAAGAATTTGAGGAGCGTGAAGATGTTGGTACCATTAATATATTCACTCCAAATCGCGGTGTAGAGGTATGCAGCCTAATAATTTCTTTAATTTACAGTTTTAGCACAAAAGATAGATAACTTCTTCTTTTTTTTTCATGAATTAGTATGATTCTGAGACGGGTTTGTGGGAAGATGATGATACAAGAACTTTTTATGAAGATATAAAAGACTTAAAAATTCTTGTTCCACAGGTTATATTTTTTATATACATTTATTTGTTGTTCATATTTATGGTTTAACACCTTAATATATTTATTAATATTTTAATTCTATTTATTATTATTCAACAAATACTTAATGTTTATTGGTTAATTCATGATTCAGCTTAAAAAAATGTTTCAGTCTAATAGTTTTAGTGAAATAGAAAACGGCGGACTATTTCTTGAAAATTATGAACCTTAAAATTATTTTAAGACCTTAAAATTATTCAGCCAATTCAGGCAATAAAAGAATTTTAAAAAGTTATGCATTTTTTTATACATTTTATAGTTTTTTACAGCAATATCTGAAATAAAAATTTAAAAGGAGTTTTGTTTAATAAGATATAATAAAATCAAGTAGAGTTCTCTTGAAGCTACTGTTGAAAGATTTTTTACACCATATAACTGAATAAAATCAGTTTAAACAAATTGAATGCAATTGACAAAATTTATAAAAATAGTTTAAATACTCTAAAGAACATAACATATCCTTTAAAGTATTTAACATTAAGATATAACATATCCTTTAGAGTATTTAAATTATTTTTAGTTCTAGCAGTTATTAGCAGTTTCTATCAGTTATTTTTAGTAAATTAAATTATTTATTGTTTTCTCAGGAAAGAGTAAACTATTGTTAAACAATTTTGTAGATTGTATTCAAAGAGCAAGATGTTCCTTCAAATGCGCAGCGGAAAGAAAAACTTATGAAAGACAAGAAAAAGAAAGAAAGAAGATTAAGAGTCGACTGTAATTAACATTAATTAATCAATCTTTACAATGTCAAAAAGATCTTATTTATGGAATTATTTGTCTATTGTTTAGTACTAGCAGATGATGGAGCTGAATACAATGATGAAATTGATGATCCAGATGATTCTTATGAGCAAGATATTCTTGGAGAAGGTATTCTTTATAATTTAAAAGTTTTTTTTTTTAAAAAAAAAAGCATAAAACATAAAGTTTTCAAATTAAGTTAAAAATTATTAACAAAATGTAGTCAATAAATGAGCAAAAAAATGTAGTCAATAAATGAGCAAAAAAATGTAGTCAATAAATGAGCAAAAAAATGTAGTCAATAAATGAGCAAAAAAATGTAGTCAATAAATGAGCAAAAAAATGTAGTCAATAAATGAGCAAAAAAATGTAGTCAATAAATGAGCAAAAAAATGTAGTCAATAAATGAGCAAAAAAATGTAGTCAATAAATTTTGTTAAGGTTTAAGATTAAATAAATTTTTAAGTTACAAGTCATAATTAGCATAATTAGTTTCTTAAAATATTTATTTTTATCAATTGAAATATTAAAACTTTTCCACTATTGTAGTTTTGGCAAAATTTGCTAATAACTTTAAAAATTTGGCTCACATATAGTATATACATATAGTATACACATATAGTATACACATATAGTATACACATATAGTATACACATATAGTATACACATATAGTATACACATATAGTAAACAAAGAATTCAAAACTTAAGTAATTTAATAATTTTTATTTGTGTTGGCTAAGAATTAATAAACTTCTTTATAAACATCAAACTATCAACAAAAAGTATAATAAAAGGTTGTTTTTTTTTTTTTTTAAATCTTTCTTTTTTATAAGATTAAATCCCAAAAAAAATTTTTATGGATAATAAGATACTTTAAAATGCATTAAGAACTACTTAAGAACTTATATATAGTAACCGACTAAGGCTTGATTTTGGTCTGGGCCAGTTTTTTGTAGCTGGTTGAATTGATGGTTAATCATGAATCGTAATTCCAAAAATTAATAATTAAAAAATCCAGAAATTCAAAAAAAAAAAAATTTTTTAACTCTTTGAAATTATGATTCATGAATTAAAATGAAATTCAATGAAATTATGAATTTAAATTTATTATTTTTAATAACATGATTGTCATTATTATTTTGATCATCATTAACATTGTCTATCATTTCTATCATCATCATCATCATCATCATCATCATCATCATCATCATCATCATCATCATCATCATCATCTTCATCATCATCATCAT